TTTGTTTTTAACTGAATTACGCAGTAATTTAACTTTACTAGAAAAGCGGACATTTAATTTGCACATTGTAATATATATATTTTTACATTCATTAATCAATTCATATATAATATTTTAATATTTTTCCATCGGTCTATTATTCCTATTTCTTTTTATTGTTGAGTGCGTAGAGTTGTGGTTCCGCCTAAACTAACTTTTAACTTCTGGATCTTTTCGGTTAATTGTTGGGGGTTAGTTGAAATATAACAATCACCAATAATTTCTTTCATGGCGACCATCTGTTCTACTTGATCTAATTCTTTTATTCGGTTGGTTAATATTTTAATTCATTTTTCTTTATTTTGAAAAGATAATTCATTGATTTCCTTAATTATTAGATCTAAATCGTTAAGTAATGTCATATTGAGTATTTTTAACGAATATTATTTTTTATCTTGGTCTGAATAACACTTAATCGGAATAACAAGAATAAAAACTATTTTTCTTATACTTTTCTTATAAATACCACTATGGGCGGTGGTAAATGGCTGTTTAGTCTTAACAATTATTAATCTTAACAACAATAATTTACTTTTGCCTATCGTTTAACGCCTTTTCTCACTTTTCCCTAACTTCGGGCAAAATATAGTCAAGATCTTTTATTGAGTTTCATAATTCTAATGCCTCTCGATCAGTAGGATCGGCATTGAGTATCTTATTCACGGCCTTTTCTACTTCTTTTAAGGTTCTTTCTTGTCTTTCTTGTTCGTTCATTTTTATATTCAATGATTAATTTTTGTCTACTTTCCTTTTTAAATCTCTGGCCTTGGGTCGTTCGGTAATACGGTTTTTGGAAGTAGGACGAGGCGGTTCTCTATTATAAATACTTTCTTTTTGTCTCGCATTGCGTTCTCCTACCTCTACTACTACAACTATTTTTCCTTCTCCTTTTTTCTTTATCTTATAAACTATCTCATAAATGGCACGGTATTCATCAACATGGTATCCTCAAAAACCTTTTCAATCATACTTTAAAGGATAACCATTTTGAGTAGGGTGAGTGGCTAAATGATTTTCTACTCTTTTTTTAATCTTTTTTTGAGTTTTTTCATCAAGTTTACTTAAATCCTCTAATGCCTTATCTTTTCATTCTACTTCACATTTACGCATTCTTGGCTCTTAATTCTTTTAATCTTTGATCGGCTTCCTTACTAGTATAATATTTAACTTTGCCCTTTTTTTTGTCCTCAATATGTTTTTCAATTGCCCTAATTTCCCTCATGTCATCTATATAGTTAAGTAGTGCCGCCGTAATATGAAATTCGTGGGGGTATTTTTTTCTTTTCATTATTTTTTTGATCTCCTTCATTTCCCCCTCATCCTCCATATATCTAATCAATGCCTCTTTAAAATGATATTCTTTGGATTTCCCGGTAATCTTTTCTAAATTGGCGTATTCTTTTTCTAGGTGTTGTTTTACTTTTTCAGTTAAGTTTGGGTTTAAAGTTATTGTAAACATAATATTATAATTTTATCAATTGAAGTTTCAATTGTTAAGAAGTATCAGGCATTTTAAAATTAACTAAACTATAAACACTAAAACTCCTTCCGCCCGTCTTTTGGTTCACCGTATTATTTAATCTCCCAAAACTTGTCCTGCCTTTAATTTCCCTTTAATTGGTTCTAAATTATTATTAAATCTTTTACTGTCAAATGTCAATTGTATTCTTTCGGTTTCCCGCTGGTTAAAATT